TGTTAGCCACAATATGCAGCCTGTTCATAAAAGGTTTCTATTTTCGATTCTAGGTGTACGAATTGTGGAGAAGCCAGGCATTTATTTAGGGGCTAATCTTGGGTTTTCGAGTAAGTCTAAGAAGGAAAATTTTTCTTGTCTTTTGGAAAAGGTTCGAGCTAAACTCTAACGCTGGAAATGTGGTGTTTTGAATTTTGCGGGAAGGTGTGTGCTCATAAATCATGTGCTACATTCCATCCCAGTATATTTGATGTCGGTCTTTAATATGCCTTTGTTGTTCCTAAGTGAATTTACAGCCATAGTCAGGAACTTTATTTGGTATTCAGATCGACAGAATGGTGTTTGCTGGAAGAGTTGGACGAAGTTATGTCTACCGAAGGGGTGGGGCGGCTTGGGTTTTAGAGACTTGTTTTGCTTCAATCACGCTTTATTTGCTAAGCAGGCATCAAGATTACTTTAGTATCCAAACTCTTTGTTTGCTCAGGTTATGCTGGGTAAATATTGTGCAGGTCAAAATTTTTTTAGGGTCAAAGTCCCTCAGAGGTGTTCATGGGAGTGGAGGAGTATTTTGTGGGGTAGAGATTTATTACTTTTGGGTTTACTTTGGGTGGTGGGTAATGGAAAGTTGATCAACCCATTCGAGGACCAATGGATTCCATCTGGGCTAATCTTGGGTTTTCGAGTAAGTCTAAGAAGGAAAATTTTTCTTGTCTTTTGGAAAAGGTTCGAGCTAAACTCTAACGCTGGAAATGTGGTGTTTTGAATTTTGCGGGAAGGTGTGCGCTCATAAATCATGTGCTACATTCCATCCCAGTATATTTGATGTCGGTCTTTAATATGCCTTTGTTGTTCCTAAGTGAATTTACAGCTATAGTCAGGAACTTTATTTGGTATTCAGATCGACAGAATGGTGTTTGCTGGAAGACTTGGACGAAGTTATGTCTACCGAAGTGGTGGGGCAGCTTGGGTTTTAGAGACTTGTTTTGCTTCAATCACGCTTTATTTGCTAAGCAGGCATCAAGATTACTTTAGTATCCAAACTCTTTGTTTGCTCAGGTTATGCTGGGTAAATATTGTGCAGGTCAAAATTTTCTTAGGGTCCCTCAGAGGTGTTCATGGGAGTGGAGGAGTATTTTGTGGGGTAGAGATTTATTGCTTTTGGGTTTACTTTGGGTGGTGGGTAATGGAAAGTTGATCAACCCATTCGAGGACCAATGGATTCCATCTCTTACTAACCCTTTAATGCGGAGAGGACTCGCGCAACTTTTACCAATTATGCGATTAGAATATTTGATGGATATGGAGAATCATTGTTGGAGATTGAATTTGATCAAACTTTTCTTCTCGGAAAGTTGTATTGATCGTATCCTTTCTATTCATTTCATCATGGTGATGATAAGTTAGTCTGGAGTCCATTAAAGAGTGGAGAATATTCGGTGAAATCGGATATAAACAAGCTTTATCTCGGGTTTATCGATTGTATCGCGATATGCCGTTCTAAAACCCAATTTGAAAAAATTTATGGATGCTTAAAATCCCTTCAAAATGGACGATTTTTTTTTTTTTTAATGGAAATGCCTTCATAGTATTTTACCTGTTCATTGGGAGTTACGGCGCAGAGGGTTGATGGTCGATCCGATTTATGTTCGATGCCATTTGAGCGAGGAGACTCTAGAACATGTGTTTTTTCAGTGCCCATATTCCCAGCGGGTGTGGCAGGGATCACAGTTGGGACTTGATTTTAGTGTCGGACAGCCATTGTCGTTTTCTTGCCGGTTTAAGAATTGGCTCGAGCAAATTGGTGGTGATGATATAATTATCCAATTGGTGGCCTTGCTATCACTACAGGAAATTAGGGATTTAATGGTGTTTAATTAATGGCGTTTTAGTAAACGTCACTTTTTTTAATAATTAACGGCGTTTTTTAAACGTCGCATTTGTTATTAGTTAAAACTGTACCGTTTTGTGTATCAAGACGCTTGAAAACCGCTTCCAAATCCTGTCTCTCTCCACACCCTCTTCTGTCTCTCCAAACCTTTATTTTGAAAACCCTATTTTGAGCACAGCCGTCACTCACTCACTCTCTTGCTCACTTGCTCTCTCTTTCTATCAGAGGATCGATTGTTCTTCAGTCTCTTACTCAGTGATTCTTCTTCAGTTCGGTGATTTTTCTTCGATTTCGAAGTTCGATTTTGAGCACAGCTCCGTGATTTATCTCCGTGGAGTTGGAACTATTCAACTTCTTCGATCAGAGGTTAGTTGTTCTGTTTGTGATTTATCTCTGTTTTGGATCAATGTTTTGCTTAGTGAATACTTTTGTTTAGGGCTCTATATAGGTCTTAAGCCCTTAGGGCTCTCGATTCTTCTTCACTCTCTTACTCAATGATTCTTCTTCTATTCTTCTTCTGGTTGGTGATTCATCTCGGGATTGAGATTTCTAAGTTCGATTTTAAGCACAGCTCCGTGATTTATCTCCGTGGATTTGGAACTCTTCTGTCTTCTGCGATCAAAGGATAGTTGTTCTGTTTGTGATTTATACAATATGATTTACAATATGATATACAATATGATTTGAATCAGTGTGTTGAAAAATTGGCATTGCCAATGATGGAAACTCAATTCGCATTATCCTAGAGGTAATATTGTGTATTCTCTTGACTTAAGGTATTTTTTATTATTATTATTTTCTGCTTTTGCGTGTCTGTGATATGAAATGTGGGAGTTTTTCAGGAACGTTTGGAAGCCGCAAATGCTCTAAAGAAGCAAATGTTGGCAGAGGTACAACTTGATAAAGGTTTGCATGTCTGTAATTATTTTTTCTCCTTCCTATATCTTCCTGTATCTGGTGTTGATCCTTTTTCAGTTCTTCAGTATAGTAAATCTGTTTGTAATTATTTTTACAGGTGATTTACTCTGATGAGGATCGAAAGTTCGACAAATATATTACTGTTGGCCTAATTTGCAGTGAACTACTAAACCTTGCTGAGTACAATGTTCATATGGCTAAGCTGCTTGATGGAGGAAAGAATAGTATGTATAAGTAATATTGCTCTACACGAGTAATCCTTGAAGTAACATAACTAACTAGTTGGCATATAATGTGTAGAGGCTGCGACTGAGTTTTCCATTTCCCTTATTCCAACATTGTTGATCAATGATTCAAAAGTCATTTCCAAACTTCATAATTTCGTTGATGCGTTGGCTAAGATTTGTGACTATTCATTTTGTTTGATATGGTGGCAAAATCAGATTGTGCCTGGTTCTGATTGAGATCTTACCTATAGCTTGCGGCAAGGCTTGGATCTCCAGAGTCATTACAACAGCTGGTTGAGGTTGCCAGGAATCCTGCTCCCAATCCTGCTACTCTTTTTGCTGTTTTTTTGCTGTTTTATCTGGTAGTCATATTGTTGAACTTGCATTTTCAGGGGGGCAATGTTGGTCATCTGCATAAACTACTGGGTATAGAGTCAAGTTCACAGGTTTTTAATATGTTGATTATAATTTTTTTTTCTCTTCTCCTTTTTCAAATGGTGCCTAGACATTATCAAGAAGCTATCATTTTGAGTGGGATGCTATATATTCTTTTAATCTTTTTGAATTTTTTTGCATATCTTTGTTAAGCATTTGATTTTTCTAGATCTTTACATGAGCGCACATATGCAATCATACTATACTTCAAAGCTGTTACTTGGATCAATTCAATCTCTTACTTTATGTTCAAAGTAATCTAAGCACAGAGCAGCAGTTAAAAGAGTTTTATGTGGTTTGATGTCACTTGTGGAAGATTGTGAGATTTGATTGGAGAATGGTTGGTTCCTTCATGATGACAGAGTAACTATTTTGCCGATTGCTCTGTTAGTTTTCATGATATGATAATTAGAGTTTGCTATTATATTCTTAGCCTAATTACAATTAAACGTAATCGTTATATTTTCTTTTAGAATATAGTATATTGTAATATCCACCAGATTGTCATATTCTATATTTTTTTTCAACTAGACAATGCTCCAAATATTTAGTTGTGGCCCCCTACTGGACAATGTTCCCATCCATTTTTGTTCATTATCCTTTGCTATTCTATATTTTTTTCGCTGTTATTGATTGTGTGCCTTTCTTCTCCACCCTCACCCTCACCCTCACCCTCGGATGAGATTATTGAATTTGCATATAAAAAAATGGCTGAGATGACATTATGATGACATCATAACTTTGCCTATAAAAAAATAGCTGACATATGATGAGATCATAACTTCTATGGCCTTGATAGGGAGTGCTGACAGCATTATTTGTACAATTTAGGGAGCTGTCAGTAGTTTTTTTTTATGTGGTGTTTGGATTACCTGGACTGAAAATAAGGTTTTGTGTTTGACCATGTAAAATATAGTTTTTTTTTTAATATTATATATTTTATAAAATTTAAAAGCACACTCAGCCAAAGGGATTTGTTTGGACACAAATGAAACTGCCATGTTACAGTTACTTTTCATGGGTTGGAATTAGGTGCCTGCATGATGGTTATTGGCTAATAAAAGAATGCTAATTAAAGTTTGAAGGATATTTTGTGGGGCTTTTTTCACTCCTGTCCAAGCCATAGAAGAGACCACCATGCTCTGTATTTACTCGGATTTTAGATTTCACTAATGCTTTTGATGTCTAATTTTTATTCACCCGGTGAATCTTTAACTTCTCCTATAGCCCTAGTACTTGTTGAGAATGGTAATTTTTTTAAAATTGAATATTGCTTTTCCTCCAGGATGCTGAGGGTTTAATTGTGCTCAACATAGGCAGCTATATGGGTGGAGTTGATCTTTGGTGGACCTGCAAGAGTTCCTATCCAAATCAGAGAAACTACGAAGGGGGGATAACACTGGCTGGTGTGACGGAGGCAGAGGTCAGGACAAAAGAAGAGATGGCTTCATTTCTATTGCGTGGTTCATTAGCTTGTGCTATTGGGAGCACTAACATGAATAGCCAATCAAGGTATGTAGTTTGTATAATGTACATACCACAACTGGTTGGCTTCATCTCTGAGTGCTGATATAAACCACTTTCCCAACCATTTTTTTTATTTCTTATGGGCTGAATTGCACTGGAAGCTGTAAGAGGTGGGCAGCTGTATGTCTTATACACTATAAAAGAGTACACATGGAAGCTTACTACTAATAAAACTAAGAAATTTTTCCGAACACAGTTCTCATTTTGCTATCCCCACTTGGAAAACAAAAAATAATATTATTTTTTTCTTTTGAAGACAGGTTTTGAGAACGATGGACGAAACAAAATTTCATACTTGTTTTACTGAAAGGGAAAAAATTATGGAGGAAAGTGGAAACCCAATTAGAATTACTATTTGGTTATATTAAAATGAAGAAATTGTTTTTGAATTAATTATATCAATTTGGGGATATTCTTGCTTGATACAACAGTTTCAAAAACCTCATCCATCTGCCTATTTTGTCCCTTTTGAATAGAATTACCACCATTAAGCCTAATTGGACTCACAAAAGATGATTTTAAACTGTGTTTGGGTCTTGAATTTGTGGAAAGGAGTGGACTGGTTAAATTTAGCATACTTTGTGCAGAAGGGAAGATTTTGAATTCTTGCTACTCTGGGAGCTGTAACTATCTTATCTTTCGCATTCTCAGACTTCTCCTGGGGAAACTTGCCTCGCTTAACTAACTATTTGACTAAATTTCTATGCTTCATATATGTAATCGTATTCAGTTAAATTGTCCATTCTTACAAGTGTTTTCTAAATAAAAGACAAGTTATGGGTGTGTTATTATGTTCCATTCATGTCAAGAAAAGATGATTTACCATATACTTCATTGCTGCAAGCATTTCTTGAGCATGGAATACCAGACAGTCCTGAGATGGTTGTTGAACTAATGCAGAAGGTAATTTCTAGACAGGCAATCATTTTGTTCATGTAATGATAAAACTATTTTGTATTCTAACCAAGGATGTTCAATGGCCGTTACATTTAAATTAGTTCATAAATTGACATCTTTATATTTATGTTTAGGAAAAAAAACGAAGAAATAGTTTATTTTTGTAATCGTTTTGATTATGTATGTTTATCTAAGGTCTCTAGGTTATATTTTCAAATTGGAAAAATAATATTGTAGACCTTAGCTTATAAAATATTCATATACATGAGTGTACAAATTTTTTTGATTGCATATACATTAGTATGTATATATATTTAAATTACATATACATTCATCCATAAATTTAGAGTAAAAATTTCAGTTTGCCCCCATGGTTCAACTCAAGCTTCATGAACTTTAATGGCCAACAATAAAACCAATGCACAGAGTGCTACACTAGCATATGGTTAGCTCATAGATTGGTTGTCCAATTCTAGAACTTTTTTTATGCTTATATATGTCTTTTCTCAATTATTTTGCTGGATTTTTTTATCAATTGAGTGGTTGGGTTAGTGGGACATTGGTTAAAGTTTGGATTTGTGATAAATTTTTGGTCTGCTATATATGGTATCTATATCTATAATGTAATAGACAGAGAATAATTCTTTAGGTTGTGTTGATAATCATATTTGGATAAAGAAACATATCTGTGTAGGGATTGACCGGATTGACCGAAGCCTATGGTGCCCACCCATCAATGTCAAACCAACCGTAGTTGGGGTTCTTTGTGATAATACTTGTTTCAAACCTGCTTCAAACCTAACCCTAAGTTAGCTTAAAACTTGCTTTAAACCTGCGTGTGGTGCATCACACTATGATGATTGGTAATAGCAATAGTAATGACTAGCAATGTAGGCTCTACTTTATTGATCTCTCAATTACATCCAAATTTCAATTACATCCTCTTATTGAATAAGAGTTTGTCTCATGTTTACTTCTTTGATGTTATGTGTTGAAATCCTATTTACCCATTAAGAAATATTGAAGTTTAATGATTTAACTTTGTAGTATATTAATTTAAAAATTAAATGGAAATGAAGTTTGGTGTGTTTAATTATGCTTTTAACCCTGTGAAATCAACTTTACAGGTTAAATTGGCTTCCCTTAAGAAGTTGTCTTTCAATGCAAAATGGATACTTTGACCAAGATATGGCCTGGCAAACTTCAAGAACTAAGAGAGATGAGAGTTTAATATTCTGCACCCTTATTTTTGTGCTTTTACAGATTCTTAACATGAAATTCTGTTTGTTTTTAATGGAACAAGTGATATTTGAAAAATTGTTGTCCTAATTTTTTTTGTGGACCGCAAGCTGGTGGTTCTCCATGAAAACAATATCGGTTATTGTGTAATACATTGGCATGAAATTTTGTTTATTGCATTGTCTCACAGCCAGAATTTACTTAGCATCATATTTATGTATGTTCTCTTGAAATAAATACATTTGATTCTTTTTTTTTTTTCTTTTTTGTATATGTGTTTGTAGTTGAAGGTTTGTTTTCCTTTTGCTATTGTTCTTATCCAAGTGTTTTTGAGGGCTTATGCATCACAGAATTAGCACAAATTTTTTTTTTAAAAAAAAAAGAAAAAAAAAAAGAAAAATGAGGCTATAACGGCGTTTGTTAAACGCCACTATAGTGATATTTTTAAAATGGAAAAAAGCTAAAAACGTCGTTAAATGTCGGCGTGACGTCATGTTACTGTTATGTAATACATTTGGCGGCATTTTTAAAAACGCCGCCTACTCTCATATAATGACGCTTTTAAAGCGCCATAAAGATACAGCGACGGCCGCATCTTCGACGTTTGATGCTAAACGCCACGAAAAGAATTAGCGGCGTTTTTAATAGTTATAGCGGTGTTTTTTAAACGTCTCTAAAAGCCTCATTTCCAGCAGTGTATGGGCAATTTAGATACAACGCAATAATCTTGTTTTCAATCATAATTTGCAGTCTTGTTCAAATACCATTGAGTTTGCTAAAGAGTGTTACACTTTGGCCATATGTCGCAATATTCATATATCTAGTCTCACATTACTGCACCTTAATGCCTCTGACTCCATGCAGGCTTCAAGTGAAATGTGTGTTCTTTAATCAGCAACAGGCTCTACTATGGATTTGCAGGAAGACACTGCAACATGGACCTTCATTATAGATGGATCATGGTGGGCCAAGGGTTTGAAAGTAGGTGTGGCATGGATCTGTTACGATGCTAATCAGCGTATGGTGGGGCAGCATGCAACCGCTTTACATTGTCCTTCTCCTCTCACTACTGAAGCAATTGCTTGTTTAGAAGCTGTGCGCTGGGCTATGGGGCAGCAACTACAACGAATCAAGATTTTGACGAACTGCCAAGTTTTGGTTAATTTACTTCAGTCTAATAGATCTAATGTTGATTGGCATATAGCTTCTTTAATTAGTGATATTTTGTATTTTAGTAAGTCTTTTAGTTTTCTTAGTATTATCAAGGTAGGAAGGAATGTAATTACCTCAGTTCATACGCGGGCTACTAATGTACGTAGTTCTTATTAATGATATTTGTTTGTTGTTTTCGTCCTTAAAAAAATAAAAAATAAAAACAATAATAATAATAATAAGTGATCGGATGGCAATGTACTAAACTACACCCTTTCTTCGGTATTAGGGAAACGTTTTTTAAGTCTCATCCAAAATTTCGTCGCTACAACTAAAATCAGCAAAAAAATAAAATAAATAACAGTGAAGTCGTGCTGTTTAAGCAGACAACACAATCTTTTATGCTTTAAGCACAATAGGCACCCCATTCCTGTCATATGTACTTTTTCCATAAAATTATGGGTTTATAACCAATAAAAATTGAATTTTTACATAAAATTATGTAACTTTTGTGTTATTATTTTTCAAACTAAAATACTTATATTAGGAAATTGCTTTTGAATACAGCCTCACAATAAAACAACACGAAAATGACATCACATGGCATGAGCTCAACCTTTATTAGGAAATATAACTTGTTTCTTGTTTTGCTGTTGTGCCATGGGGTACAGTAGCCCTGTTATGCATCGCTTTGGAAGTTTTTTATTAGGAAATATAACTTGTTTCTTGTTTTGCTGTTGTGCCATGGGGTACAGTAGCCCTGTTATGCATCGCTTTGGAAGTTTTTTTTTGAGGTTATTTTGATAATTCGAACAATTCATATTGTAAGATTTATCGAATATATTATCATATAAAAAAAATCCAATTAATCAAAATCTGGAACTCTATGAACATGACTTAATTGTTTTAAAAAAATTATTAAAATCGTGTTTAACTGTTTATTTTTTAAAAAACAAATATGCTCTTGTTATGAAGCTAAAAATATCTAGTCATTTTGATTTTTGACATTGATGATCAACTCGATGAATTTTACAATATGAACGGTTCAAATCATTAAACAAGGCTCGAGACATGCCTCTAAAGCATCTCACAGCTATTGTACAAATTAATGTAATTAACTAAAATAAATAGATTTATGATTAATCAAATTAAATTACAGACTAAGAAAATATGCTAGAATTTACAATGATATTGTATAGAAATACACAATATAATAAAATGGTAAATAAAGCACAAACTGAAACTTGTGTAATACCACAATGTCCTTAAAACAGATTAGGCAGCTCACCGTGGGTGCTAGAGGTATGTCGACTTCTGTCTCCCAGGATACGACGATTTAGACCAACTAACACAGAAGCACTTTCTGATAGCTTTGACGAATTAACAATGGCAACATTTTCTCACACAGGAAGAATATATTATAGGAACAAACAAACTGGCTGTATAATTCTAGACACTCTCTTATACATGAAGAATATATTGTAAGAACAAACAAACTGACTGTATAATTCTGGAAGGTAAAAATCTGTGTTAAACCTAAGGGAGATGGGCCTCTTTTTATACACAATGTGAGAGAGAGCTGTGTGTATACACATATCTGTAGTAGACCTGGCCCAAAAAGATTAGGTTGGTGGACTACCAATCCAGCCTAGCCCAACCTAACTCAAGCCTCAAGCCCAAGATCCATGGCCCACGGATCACGGCCCAGTCTGGGCAGGCAGCGCGCGTGGCAATTTTTCCATACCTAACTTGGACCATAGTCTTGGCCTAAGCCTACTCTTGAGACATTCATAACTCCCTTCCTTCGGAAAATTTGGATGCTCCAAAGAGCTCATACCCTTATCCAAATCTTGAGGTTTAAATACCCATCAAAGCTTTCCTCTGCAATCAATTTGGGATTGGTAGCTATACACAATTCCCAATACTTTATTCACGATGCCAATTTTATGAGATAATTTCTCATTTAATTCTTAATATTTTTGGTCATTCTGTTTTTGGTGTAAAGACCTTATTACAAAGAATCTAAACCCATTTAATCCCATCTCAACTAATAATTAGGATCTACTTTAATTTCACATTAAAGTCACCATAAAATTATTTTTTCCAACAACAACAACCTACTGTGCCATGGCTCGAGATGCTTTCCACATATCTTCTGCGAGTTTGAGACCTTACTTTTGCGACTACTCGACTTTTGCAAGTCCTTGTCTCAACAAAATATCCTTGAAGTCTCCTCTATCTAAGAGTTTATTCTAAAGTATAAATAATCCACCAATAGCCCTATAATGGATTGAGCTATATAGTGCCACCTAGGTTTGGAACCCACTCTTTAAAAGTTCATATGCACATATGCATGTGTCATCACCTCATTGGTCGGAGGTCCAAGGGTCCATAGAATATAAATATTCTTCTTTTTATTTTTATATTTAGATTCTTAGTTGTTCTTAGAAGTGATAAAGAGTAAAATGGCATAACAGGATCCACATTCCTTTAAAATTTTAAAATATCTTTTTACATATTTGTTTTTCATAAAATTTATAATTTTAGAATCTAATCCCGAAGATATAACAAATAGGATTTATATTCAATATAATTTTTTTGAAAAAAAAAAATTGAGAAATTTCTCAATAGAGATAGCAAAATTTCACAAATTCTAAATAACTAAAAAAAATGCTTAATTTTATAAATTTGACAATTTCTATACAAAAATTTGTAGTTTCTCAACACAAATAAATTGACAATTTTTTGGTGCTTTTAAGAAATTGATTTTTTTCCCTTTATGTTGTGTTTGGTTGGACGATTTAGGGAGAGATTTGGAAAAGGAAAGGGAAAAGGTGTGTGAAACTATGTGAAATTTAGGTATATTTTATTCTCATTTCACCTACCTTTTCCATTTCTCTTTCTAAATCTCTCTTCAAATTCCCTAACCAAACACAGCATTAGTTTCCATTTATATAAAATTTCACAATTTCAGCCCAACAATTGTGACATTTTGCAAGTTTGACTATATATGGCAATTTGCCCCAACTGGAAACTTGATCCCTCATCCTATTTAGCGCTCTTTTTTATTTTTTTTTCTTTCTGCTAAGAAAACAAGAAAGGGTGATATTTGTTTTCCCGCCGCGTTTTCTTCACTCTATCCCAATAATAACATAATAAGGGTAAATTATCAATAGATTCTAATAATTATACTTAATTCTTATCAAATTCAATTGAAAATAAGTTCTAGTAAAATTGTCGCTAAAAATAATTTTTTGTGACGATTTTTTGCATGTCGCTAAAAATTAACAATTAGTAACTTTTTTTGTCACGATTTTTATAAATTGTCGCGAAAACTTACAATTAGTGACATTTTTCTGTGACAAATTTTTTAAATTGTCTTTGAAAGTTGAAAATGAGTGACTTTTTTTATGATGATTTTTTTTTAAACTATCGCTAAAACTTATAATTAGTGACATTTTTTATGACAATTTTCAAACTATCGCTAAAAATTAACAATTAGTAACTTTTTTAATAATGTTTGATGAAAAATGTCATTAATTATCATAGGACCTACACATAAGTCACCATAATAATAATTAAATAATTTGATATATATATATATATAAAATTTAATTTGTTAATTATAATAAAAGTAAAATACCAAAACATTTGTATATTTCTCATTTATCACCTCTTTATCTTTCATTTTTAATTTATATAAATTTCATCACTCATTAATCTTTGTACTCATATACTATTATATTTCTTGTTAATAACATTTCCTTCTCAAGTGTTATAAATTGTCCAATACCTCTTTGCTCTACTCCATCCCACCCTGATTTCCCTCACTTTGCGCCTACCTTGAGAATGAATGATGGATTTGGGGTGGGCACAGCAGGCACTATTGTGCTGCCTTATGGGCTCATTTCAGGGTCTCTTTTGATAATCCGAACCGTTCACATTTTAAAGTACATCGAGTACAACATATCTCTAAAAAATCAAGTTAATCGGATATGATTAACCCTTTCATCCACTCACATTTGTATTCATTTTAATATT